AACTAAAAAAAGTTTTTAAAATCATTTATTTACTAATCAATTAATTATTAACAGAGTTATTAGAATCAAGATTTTTTTTAAAAAATCTTTTAATTTTTCTTCAACCTCGTTAAGCATTTCTAAAACTGTATCGTTTTTATAAAACGTATAAAACGATATTTTCTTTTTAATTTCAGGAATTATATTTTTTACCGATCTTTTTGTATCTCTTAAATTATACTCTCCATGATTTAAAAGATACAAACATTTCTCAAATAAATTTAAAACATCAACGATTTCATAAAGTATAGTATTTAAATTTTTCTCACTCTCCATAAACTTCTTTAAATCAATATTAAAATAACTTAATATTACATTGAGAATATTTTCACGTCTAGATAATTCTTTTTTTATCTTTAGCAATCTTTCTAAAAATAAATTTAGTTTTTCATTATAATAAAAAATCATTTCTTTTAATTTCTCAAATATAATTTGTCAGTTTCAGATAATATTAGAGAATGATTTAAATAATACATATCACATTCTAAATTTGAATCAGAATTTGACACTAGAAAATATTAAAATTCTCCTTTAACTTTTTCATTACTATTACATACAAATAAAAAATCTTCTTTATTTATTTTTATATACGTTTTTCTCTTCTTTTCATCCTATAAAGTTTGAAAATATTCATATTTATAAGTCGTATACATTTTTGTAGCTAATTCAAAAGAGTGTGAATCAATAGATTTAAAAAAACAATCTCGTCTTTTTTCAATAATTCACTACAATCAAAATTTTTATTATTATTTACTACTTTATATATTCTGTTTAAAAAATTAACAATATCTTTTTTACAATATTTATTATCAAACCTAATCCTTTTTAACTTATCAAAACAATCTCTTAAACCTTTTTTCTTTTAGAAACCTTCCTATCTATCTCTTTTATCTTTACTAAAACTTCTGTTAAAAAACCAATTTGAAAGTTTCTAAATAGAGCCTTGGATTGTTTTATTAAAAGAATCATCTCTTCAATATTTATACTATCTTCACATCCCACTCCAATAATTACAAAGTCATTATTGCTTAATAGAAACAGTACACTTCTTAAAAAAATAATTAACTTACTTCTTATATTGGGGTGTCGTGCCCTACACGGCTATGTTGCTTACTTGAAAATAAATACTTATGTTTTAACATGTTTTATTTAAGAAAATTGTTTTTATATTAATTCTGAGATTTAGTTTTAGAAATCAAACTCATATTTATTAGAGGATAAGATAATAAGGATTATATATTTTTATTTAAAAATAAAATTTTTGATTATCGAATCTTGTAAATTTTTGAAAAGTAAATTAAAAAACCACTATTACAAAAGTATTATTAAATAAACTATATTTTTTAGACAACATAAATTTTAGATATAATAATAAAATTCTTTAAAAATATTTAAATTGAATTCTTTTATTAACCCTTAAATAAGAAAATATTTTACAAATATATTTATCAGCGTTTTTTTATTAAATATTGAAGTTTTATAAATTAATTCAGTAGATGTATAGATTATTTATTTTAATTATATATGTTTTTAAAGTAAAAAAATGTTTTCTTTACTAAAAAGGTGTGATATAAAATTTAGAAATATTCAAGTTAAGTTTTTTAAAAAATTATTAAAAATTTATAGACAAACAAAAAATGTAAAATAAAAAAATGTCTAAAAGATGCTATTATAAATTAAAAAAATCAAATTAAAAAATGAATATTTTAAGAAAGAAATATAGGGGGTAAGATCAAAAATCAAATTTTTGCAACTAACTATAGAACTTTTGCAATCAATTAAAATATTTTTTTTCTAAATATTTTAATAAGTTTGCAATCAAGTATAGAACCTTTACAACCAAATGTAGAACCTTTGCTATCATGTGCATACGTTTAAAAACGATAAGAAGGTTATTAATAGGTTTCATTTAATAAAAATTTTGTCTTCAGCAAAGCGATTAACGTATCTTAACCTTTTTCTGTAGAAGGAATCATAAATTTGTGATGAAATTTCATTTAATCAAGTAATTATTTAAGTTTTAAGCAAAAGATCGGATGTTGTAGCACCCCTTAAACAAAGTGTTTCTTAAATGAAAAACAATTTTCAATTAGTCTGAAAAATGGTGAATAAGGGATAAATAAACTAATTTTAATCTTATATCATTAAATATTTTTCTATTTCTAAAAAAATGAATTATGGTATTATCTAGAATAAAAACAGGTGTATTAATATCATAATCATTATAGTTTGTTTTAAGTTCCTAAAGAAAGGTTTTAAAAGTATCACAGTTAAAGGTCTTCTCATGAATTTTATGATATGACAGTCTACAATATTTATTCATAGTAGCAAAAACAGAAACTTTCTTATTTTTGCTGTAGGTATACTCAAATGAGCAGTTGCACCCATAACAAGCAACTTTGATTTATCCGCGTTGATACAATAAACTTAACCTCATCTAAGAACAAGAAGTTTTTATGCTCGTATTGTTTCTCTAGTTCTCTGAATTTACCCACATACACAAGTCTTACTTCAATAGTGCGATCACAATTTTTTTGCTTAGGTACTTTTATGATCACTTAATAGTATACTAGATCTTTCTAAGACACCGATTAATTCTCTTAGGAGAAAGATTAATACCGAAAGATTCGGCTACTTTATTAGCTAGACCTTTAACCCTTTACAAGCAGTTTATATTTAGCGAGGTAAGAATTATTTCCTTTTGTTTAAATATTTATTTTGAATGTTTGTCTAAGCTAAATGTTTTGCATAAAAAACATTTATTTATAAAAATGATTGCAATTTTACGTACAGTTTCATAGTTTATGTTGATGCGACAAAAATTTCATTTATAAAAAACCGGCTGCAATCTTTGAGATAATTCTTTCTATATCTTCAAGAATCACTTATTTTCTTTTTCTCCATTATTGTTCATTTTCTAAAGTAATCATGTGGGTAGGTATATTTTTTTTAATTTACACTTGATTGCAAACTTATTAAAGTATTTAGCAAAAAATTTTATTATACAATTGATTCCAAAAGTTCTAAAGTTTGTTGCAATGTTTTAAATTTTGATCAAAAGCCACTATATTGAAGTTAAAACGTTTGATTAAAATAATTTAGTAAATTAATCAAATTTTGAATGAGTTGTTTTAAAATTATTAAAAATGCTTTTAAAGTATAAATGTTGTCTTTTAAAGAATATTTTTATGTTTCAAATAAAGTAGAATGTGATATATTTTAACTTACAATTGATGAAAATATAAGAATTAATCTTTTTAAAAAGTTAAATTGATTTTAAAAAATTAAAATGATTTTGTGTACAACAAAATGATTATTTATCAATATTTGAATTCGAAAAAGATAAATTAAATACTTATTTAAAAAATAGGAATTTTTTCTTTTAAATTTTAGATTATAAAGAATATTTAGATAAAAAGATAGAATGTTCTTCAAAAAATTAAAAAAAGATTTTTAGTTAATTTAAAATTATTGCCCCTTATAACCAACCGTGAATAAGAATTTGGTGCTTATCGTTAATTTTAGTATATATAAATCTTCTTGTCTAAATTTAAAAGAAAAATGAAGAAATTTTAAACCATAAAATTATAGATAAAAAAGTGAAAGAAATAAAAGTCATAAAATAAGAGAGTAGTGATTAAGACCACCTAAAGAGTTTAAATTTCTATGGAGATATCCCGAGTACCATCAAGTTTACTAATAACAAAGAAGATTGCAGTGTTATGTCAGCAATTGACACAAATGTGAAATAAAACTAAGAAAGTTTTATAATTAATATATGAACGAAAAAATATATTATGGTTCAAAATAGTTTTAACCGATTTAACAATTTGCCCTGGTAACTTGAATTCAAATCAGAGTAAGGGTATTAGTGCACAAAGAGAGAACCGAGTAGTACCGAAAAGGGAAAAATTACAATTTAAAGCAAATGTTTCGGGAGTAGAAAGTGGTTCTGTAGTTGAAATTCCAATTTTAAAATATAGAATTAATATAATATACTGGACTGGAAGAGAAAGTTATTTAGAGCACAGAAATTGTGTGGATTGTCTGATAATTAAGCAATTACAATGCTTAACTACTTAGTCGATGAGGTTATTCAGACGTATTATAAAGGGAAAGATGAAAGATCTTTTAGTGAAATTATTAATATAATTACAGGCGGTATTTACACTGCAGATAAAGTAGCTAGTATAAAGGAGAAGTTAAGAAATGTAAAATATTTTAATTTAAGAAATATATATAATTATAAATTTTATATTGAAAAGATGGTCGAGAGGGTAAATCTTGGTGGTGAAAACTTGATTAGTGAAAATCAGAAGTTCTATTTTTTCTTTGGTGGTTTACCTAGAGAATTTCAGGAGAAATTTTTATGGTACGACCTTGATGAGATTGAAGATGCTACGTATGCAATAGCTAAATTAGAAACAATTTATAAACAGAAAATAGGCAAGAATAATTCTAAATTTGAAAATAATAATAAGGCTTTTAATAGTAGAGATCCCAAGATTTAGACTTGGTTGGATCAGAAGAAAATGAATGATAAGAAAAATATTAACATACTAAATATGGTAAATAAACAGCTATACGATGAAGATGATGATTCACATAAAAGAAATATATTACATTGTTCCTCAAATAAAAAAACTGCCTTATTTTTTTTCTGCCACAACAAAAGTCTTTACTGGTAGATACTAGTTTTGATATTTTCGTTGTTGATAACACATTCTTAGTTGATAAGGATATTATAATGAAAAAATCAAACATAAACATATTAACTGTAAATAATAGGAAACTTAAATGTCTGGGATATATTGAATAATTTATAAAATTTGATAATATCCTAGAAAATATAAATATTAAAGTTTAGCCTATCTAAATTCTTTCAACACAAATAAAATAATATTAGAATTAGATGAATTAAAAAAGATAAAATGTGTAATAAATCTCGCAGAAAACAGCATAACATTAAACAATTATAAACTCTTTCTAGATGAGAAAGTAAAAATAGATTTAAATATAGATACATCAGATAGAATTTTATTAGAAAAAACAAAAATTTGTAAAAATAATAATTACTTAATAAAAGATATTGAAAAATGATAGAAGATACGAGGATGAAAAATATATAATTAAGATATATTATAAATTCCGAAGTGAATATAAAACTGATTGATGACAAGAAAATTGTTTAAATGAAACTATATAAATTAGAAAATTATTATCTCGAACCGTTAAGGAAAGAAATAAGTAAGATGAATAAACTAGAAGTTATATAAGAAAGAGTCATACTATGCATCTACGACATTTAAAATCCCTAAACACATTTAGAAATAAGATTAATTATAGAATATGGAAAATTGAATAATAATATTATTAAATTCAATTATCCTTTCCCGAATATAAAATCTAAGTTTGAGAAAATAAAAGAAACAAGTATTTTCTCTAGTTTGGATTTTAACTCAGATTACTAAAAATTATGAATAAATCCTGTTACGACACTTAACAAGTTTTGTAACACACATTGGATGTTTAAATTTACAAGAACCCCTTTTGATTATATACAACACCTCAAAAGTTTATAAGAATTATAAATGATATATTTAAAGATTTAGAATATGTAGAAAATTTTTGGTGATATATAAATATATTCTAAGAGTATCGAAGAACATTACAATCTTTTGAAAGAGGTGTTTAGATGTATAAAAACATTTATTATTTAGATTGATTTTGAAAAATCAAAATTATTGAAAAAAAATTAATATTTATTATTTATAATAGATTAAGAAAGAATGAGATTAGATATTTCTGAATTAAGTAAATTAAAAAATTATATTAAAGTTAAAAACAAGAAAGACATGCGGAAATTGTTCGGTATTTTATTTTTGAAAAATCATTTGTAGTAAATTTGAACAATAAAATTATTGCCTTAACAGATAAATTAAAAGATGGTGTGATTTTTAATTGGACTAAAGAAGAAGAAAAATAGTTAATGTGTTAATAGATAAAATAACAGACAGGTTGATATTTTTTCCTAATTATACACAACTCTTTAATTTGTATATTGATTGTGGACATTTTGTCTACGCGCGCTGAATTGTAGGTAACTCTTAAATATTGATTTTAATTTTAATTTCAATTTATTGTTACCCATTCTTAATTCTTAGGGTGAAGATTTTTTAAAATTAAAATTTAAAAAATAGAATGTTCTAAATTTAAATTTTTATCATTGGTGGGTTGATCGTTAAGATAATCACCACACTGATGTATCCGACAATGCTTTAGAAGAAATTTAAGAACAGAATAATAAGTTAGTAGGAATATTGTCGTAACCGAGGTTACTTATAACTGACATCAATCATTTTATTGAAAAAAATTGATTTAAGTTCTCATTTTTAAGTATATAAATAAAATATCCTAAAATAAATATGAAATGAGAAGTAAATTTCTTGCTAAACATTTCAATATTTTCAAAGCCACTATCCATATGGGCACAACAAATTGTTTGATGGAATAATTTTATAATAAAAAAACAATTTTAATTAGTTAAATTGATTTCTTTATCAAATTTATTTTTAAACTTATTGTTAAAAATTATAGTTCATTTTTCAAATCAAAAAAAATTTTTAATTATTTAAAAAATCGTTTAAATTTTTATTAATGATTTTAAATTTATTTTTAATTAGTTTCGCTTTAGAAAATATTGAACCAGGTGTTATTAAAACACCATTTATTGATCAATCAAATGAGATTATAGAAGAAGAGAACAACTGTAAAATATTTAAAGATGAGATTAAAAGAGTAAAAGAATTGAAATGTATTATTGACAGTATTAATCAATCAATTGATAATGAAGATATAAAAAAAGAATTCGGTAATGAATTAATGAAGTACCCCATCTTATTATTTGATATTAAAAATAATATAAGTTTATGTTTTAATATTGTAAATGAGGTAGTTTTAAACAATATTAAAAGCTTTTCTCAAAAAGATAAACAAATCGAAATAAATAGTGGTAATTTTAAAACTATGAAAAATATTATTATTAAAATACCAGAAGTAGATGAAGAATTAAAGGAAAAAATAAGATCTTTAAATGAAAATGATAAAAAGATTGTTCTTGAACTTGAAAAATCTGAAAGTGATAAATTAAGAAATGATGTTTTTGAATTCATTAATACGATAAAAAGAGAAGCATGTTTATTTATAACTGTCTTGAAAGAATTTATCGTATCATATTCTAAGTTAGAAAACTCTTTATTAAAGAATTCAAATTGTTTAGAAAAATTTAAAAATCCTTTCAAATCAGAACTTAAAGATTGTTTTATTGTTTTTAGTTTTAAAGAGAAAATAAGAGATCTTAAAAATTTAATTAATTATTGTAGTTTAATTGAAAAGCAAGAATTACATTTTAATATATTTTCGGCTTGTTATTCTAGTGAAGATAAAAAAGAAATTTCTAATGTAATTAATGCATGTTTTACTGATAAATATCTATCTGATTTTATTAAGGAATTTGAGGAAAAATATTCAGAATTTTTAAAATTTCCTAAAATTATTGATGATGAAACAAAAAATAATATATCCACCAATAAAAATTGTAAAATTGAAATTAGGAAAAAGGCACTACAGGCTAAAATAATTTTAATTGAATTATATGAGATAATTATTGAAATATTTAAATCAATTTGTATTAAAAATAATATTAAAGAATTTGGTAATTTTCTTAAAAGAAAAATGTCAGAATTTTCACCAGAAAATATTGAAGAAATGCAAGATTTCATTATTTAACAAGGTAATTCCAATATTGATATTAAAAATTTTAAACAAAGTTGGGATTTAATCTTGTATTTTTACAGAGATGCTTATGTTATGATTTATTATTTATTAAATCAATGAAATAAACTTATTTTATTATTAAAGTTGTTTAATTATTGCTACTCCTATCTCTCTTATAATCTTTATCGCTTCTATATTTAAAATCTTTCATAAACTGTAATTTATTTACTTCATTTCCTTTTATAGGATTTTCTGAAACAATAACATCATTTGTTTCAGATTGTAACAATTATTTATCATATTTAAAACCATTAACATGCTATTATAATTATTTTTTAATTAGTTAGTTATAAGAAAATTTTTTATAAAAATTAAAATATTTATACTTTTAATTTTACCAAAACCTGCAGAGGATGTGAAAACTATTTTATTCACGTCAGAACTCTCATATAGATCTATTTATCATTGAATACAAGGATTAACCTGCTCATCATCAATCTTTAATAATATGTTCTTTGTCTCATTACTCATATCTTTTAAGATAGCAAATAAGTATTTTTCAGACAAAAGGATTTCTATAAAAAAATAATTATACACAAAACATACAATCAACTTATAGCGAG